TGAAACGACGCTGTTTTGGACTCAAGTGAAGTGGACTATGTTTCGGTCCAAGAAAGAAAATCCTGCCTAGCCGAGATAAGGTCCACTTCATGATTCTAGCGCCAAACTGGGAATTGCGTCAATGGAGTGTCTGTCTTCTATTCTCTCACCAACCGCGGTGAAATTCTCTTATCCAATGCTTGCTACAATGGCTGCCTCTGCAGCTACTGTTCCTTCTTTCTCATTGAAGTCCATGGCCTCTGGACAGCGAAGAACAGCTACTTCAAAACACTCGGCAAAACCCACTAAAACCCTCTCTGCAACAACAGCAACAAACCCAGTTTCTAGTACAACCAGCACAAGCACAGCCACATCGCTACCTCCCAAGAAGGTCTTTTTTCAATACCCATTTGTCCATTCCTCTAAATGCACCAAACCCACATGAGCTTCTCCATGTGGTTGCTGAGAAAATGGATGAATGAAATGAGAACTTTGGCAAAATGGGTTCTTGGCTTTGTGATGTATTTTTTCTTAGCAACCAAAGAAGAAGTGAGAGAGTTAGTTGAATTTTTGGGTTTGTTGTGTATGCGCAGGTTCTGGTTCCAATTGGGTTGGGGACAGAAGAAATGGAAGCTGTCATTATAGTTGATGTTCTGCGCCGAGCTGGTGCTGATGTCACTGTGGCCTCGGTGGAGCCACAGCTCCAAATTGAAGCTTCTTGTGGTACTAAATTGGTTGCTGATACCTCCATTTCCGCATGTTCCGATCAAATTTTTGATCTTGTGGCTTTGCCGGTTAGTTGTTTTGAACTTTTTGTTAAATTTCATGAATTTATAGTATTACTAAGTAACTAGCAGAAGGCACGTAATATTGGTCGTTGAGATTCTTTTAAAACAACCGAAGTTCGTCAAATTAGAACGATAGCTATAGAAAGTTTTCTTCTTTTTGGCCCAGAGCTGGAGAAAGTTTAACAACAAGAGTCAAAGTGTGTATCTATAGTTGGAAGCAAAAAATACTGTAGGCACAAGGTAGTCTACAAGCTGGAGGTGTTATTTTTGGAATTATTGTGAACCAATTACTGCCCTTGGTTTTTGTCTGTTGATTAACCAATGGATATTAATATTAGGAAGTTTGGTGATAAGTTGTACGTTGAATTGACAAACTTATAACATCCGCTGATTACTGCTATGTACATGACCCTTAAGGGAGGAATGCCTGGCTCGGTGAGGTTAAGAGACTGCGCAGCACTGCAGAAAATTACAAGCAAACAGGCTGAGGAAAGGAGGTTATATGGAGCTATATGTGCTGCTCCAGCAGTAACACTTCTACCATGGGGTCTTCTAAGGAGAAGGCAGGTGGGTTAACTTCGGCTTAGTGTTGGTTAAATTTTCATAGTTTTGTGCATTTCAATGTAGTTTTCCGGCTAATGGTTGTCTAGTGTGTTATGCAAGACTACATGCCACCCTGCATTCATGCACAAGCTTCCAACGTTCTGGGCAGTCAAATCAAACATTCAAGTTTCAGAAGGGCTCACAACAAGCCGTGGCCCTGGAACTTCTTATGTGTTTGCCCTATGCCTAGTTGAACAGCTATTTGGGGAATCTGTTGCAAAGGGAATTGGAGAATCATTGGTGAGTGCTGAGCTCTGTCTCAGTTTTTTGTTCATTATATAAGCATAGGAGTGAGTGTTCAGATAATTACCTTAAAATTATAGATCGACTAAACAATTATATACATAGGTTTTAGATGTACCTCCAGATGCCTGGATTAATTGTGTTCTAAAATACGTATATATTATTCTTATAAGAAACAATTGTGTCCCAAAATATGATCATGTTCTTTTAAATTTTGTCAATTGGATCATCTGCAATAATCCTCTTGTACCAAGATATTTTTACTAGATGGGAATAAATGGAAGAAACGGACTTTACAGAATACTTACTCCATTTTTAGATCTTGAAAAGGCGAAGGGAAAGTAACAGGGAATAGAAAAATGCTTACACAAGAAAGCTCATTTCAAAGTAGTCAGAAAGTTCCTTTTCCTTACGTTTCCCAACATTCATTTAGGGTTTTAAGATTCAGAGTGAAATTGGAATATGACAAGTAGCTCAGATTTGAGGAAGATGTTTGAAATAAAAATCTACATTATTAAGGCTGGTACTGTGTCTTATATTGGTTTAAGGGTCTGCTTTTGACATACAAAATACAAAATTAATAGAAAACAAATAAAAGTTACTTGTGAACCATACATTACCTGTCTAAGAAGTCAGTGGTATGACTTTTTTGGTTCTTTTATCCAAAAAAACTTCATCCTTTGTCAGATTGTGTCTCCAGGAACAGACTGCCTGAACTATTGTGCTTTGTATCAAGTAAATATGTATGTATCTAGTCAGATTCGTTGTATCCATATGGTTTTTCCCTTTCATTATTTTTCCTGATAATTTAAAGCTAATACCCTGCCTCTCTTGTATTAGTTGGTGTGCCTCGATGATGATAACTCTAGAAAGGAAGAGTTCAACAAAGTTGAGTGGTCTTTTGATCACATCCCTCGCGTAAGTTTCTTTTGTTTCTGTTTCATTACTGAATTTTTTGTCACTTCGATCTATGGACACGCAGTTTGGTTTTCTATTGACCAATACCCTAATGGAAAACAGAAACTGTCATTCTTTGGTGATCCATTACTGAAAAAAAAGGCCGAAAGTTTTCTTCTTTTTCTTCTTTTAACAAACCCGCTAGAAATAACATATTGGTAGGTACCCACTCTTGGTCCGGTGTTTGAAATGTTCTCTTAGATGGACAAAAGATACAACGATAAAACTTCATCTTTACATTCTTTTTCTTTGACTCCTAACCTTGCTCACAGTTCACCTTTTGCTTGCTCTTTTCCATGCTTGCCCAGATTTATTTATTACATAGTTTTATCTTCTGCCTGTCAATGTGGGTGTTCGTTATTTCTCTGTTTTTCCTTCGTTTTGGCCTAAAAAGCCTTTTGTCATTCGAATTCATGTAGGTTCTGATTCCAGTTGCAAATGGTTCTGAAGAGATTGAAGTAGTAACTATTGTAGATATTCTACGACGAGCAAAGGTCGATGTAGTAGTTGCTTCAGTTGAAAAATCTGTGCAGATTTTGGCATCTCAAGGCACCAAAATCATTGCTGACAAGTTGATTGGTGTTGCTGCAGAGTTAACTTATGATTTAATCATTCTTCCGGTGAGACAAACCAAATAGTTAGTGATAAGTTATATTTGGCTATGTCCCTTAATCTCTGTGGTGCAGAATCAAATAAAATGCCAAAACTCCATAATTAATTCATATGCCTTCAACAGTTCTGGTTCATTGTAATAGGGAGGAACTGCTGGTGCTGAGCGGTTAAACAAATCTAGGATTCTAAAGAACCTCCTCAAAGAACAAGAACTAGCTGGAAGAATATACGGAGCAGTCTGTTCCTCACCGGGAATCCTACATAGACAAGGCTTACTGAAGGTAACACAAAACTATTTCTCTAATTTTTTGTTTTGTTTTTGGCTTATATGATTCCTTATGCTTCTTTTGCTAAACATAGGGTAAGAAAGCCACTGCTCACCCTTCCATTGTAAGCAAGCTGACAAATGAAGTGGTAAATGGCACCAAAGTAGTGATTGATGGTAAAGTGATTACAAGCAGGGGACTTTCTACGGTCACAGACTTTGCATTGGTTATTGTGAGCAAACTATTTGGTCATGCAAGGGCAAGAAGTGTTGCAGGAGGCCTTGTTTATGAGTACCCGAGGAGTTGAGATTATCCGGACTCAGAGCCAAGTCCTTGCGGATGGAATGCAATCTTCATCCCCTAGCCATGAAGAGTATAGACTGTTAGATCGCATTAGCCTATGGAAGCAGAATCTTCATACCAAACAGTTTTGGAAAATGGATGTTCGAAAGTATTGAGTTTGACCACATTGTCCATCCGTTTCTAAAGTTATTTTCTCCCCAAACTGCTCATTGGCTGGTCAAGCTTCCGCAACATTATGATTAACAACTTACCATTTTTTTATATGCAGAGACAGTGAACCTTCAGTAATTGATGTGAAAGAGAATGCATTTGAGATGGAAAGGCCTGTAAATGTTGTAGCAAATTTTTGTTAGTTGTTACTTGTAAGTTTAGGTGTTCCAGGCTTTTTAGCCACACTGTTTATTTTCATGACTTCATAGGATACTTACGTGGGCTGTAAATATTTTGCAGTTGAATTTATCGTCTTTTGTAATGAGAAGTTGATGAGGAATTTGAAGGCTGATAAATAAATGTGTGCAAATATTGATAAATTAAGATGGCATAAAAAAAAAAGAAAAAAAAAAAAAAAAGGATTGTGTCTAAGGTAATTGCTTCGATTGAACTGTACCGTTCTCTGCTAAGGAAAACTTGAAAACCAAAAAAATATTCCGTTGCCGGGACTTGAACCCGGGTCTCTCGGGTGAGAGCCGAGTATCCTGACCAACTAGACTACAACGGATTGTTGTTTGAAGTACCTTTGAAAACCTATTTAAACAATGGTTCGTTTATCTACCTACCAAGCAATTTAATTTCAGTTCCCACAAAAACAGATACTAGGAGATGAGGTTCTGAGGTGAGTAAAATGGTCTTTTATACTATTTGTAAATTCTGAGATGGTGGAGCCTTTTGAAGAACTACCATGAGGTAGGTTAATTTGACGTATAGAAGAGAACAAAGTTAACATCATCAAAACTGTGTCAAGGGAAATGGCTTTTTTACCTTTATGTTTTTGGGGCCATCTAAAAGCAGAGAGAAATTTATAAATAAGCTTGCATTTGATTTGATTTTCATATAAATTAATTACCATTACAAAACAGGTTAAGATTTCAGTTTTTACATCTCCAGCATTCCCTCCTCCACCTTCCCAAAATACTAGAGCTGGGAAAATATGAAAAGAACAGTACTTGAATACGAAACCCAAGTGAACAAATCTGAAGACCTGAGCCAATTCGTTAATTGAATTCAATTCCTATATGCATGAAAATAAAAGTTTATGAAGGGCAGAAACTTATTAATTATTTAGATGGACAATACTAAAATAGTTTACACATGACTTGCTCAATTATCCTAGACTCTCTCTGCAATCAAAATGAGAAGCAAACAGAGATCATACCAGTACAAAAGTTCAATCTACAAGATGAGACCGTAGTTTGTAATTTACAACTCAACCACTCCTCTCCTATACAGACAGCTACCTACTGTTTCTAGTATAAGATTGGATTCAGATAACAGATACAAGCTCCAATCTTTGTACCATACTACCTATATGTTTGTAAATCAAGCACTCATCTTACATCTGCAGTCCAACTTCATCCAAGTTACCAAGGGCCGGTCAATGTTCGTCGTAAGCATTGCCTTTTACCTCCCCTTTGCCGCTTCACTGTCTCCAAAATCTACCGAAGTATTCAAGAAAGAAATCCGTCAGCCTACTTTGACAGTCATAATTTACAAGAAATTCCTAAAGGAACGTTATCGTTTGCCTCATTGGTTATGTTAACTGGGAGCAATAAGACATCACATAAAATGTAGGGCAGTGAGGCACTAGAGAAATAGGTACAGTGATGTACCTGATCTTTCTGCATTTCCATTATTTCTGTCTGCAGAAACCACATTAACGTCAAGCAGCGTTAGCCAAACTAGGACAACCAGGTGAATAGCCAATAATTTTTACTTAAATAAATTATATACCTGTTTTCTCTGTAATTCTTCATTCATTTCTTTAAGTTTTGCAACTTCTGCCTCTAGTTCCAAGGTATAGGCCTGCAATAAATCGGGAAGAAAAGGTTATTAAAAAAAAGTATCAATCATGTTTCTTAAACAAAAAAAGTATGAACAAAGCAGAGCGCCACTATTCAAAGAGCCTATGCTAGGACCAGAACTCATAAAACATATTATTAAGTTCAAAAAATCCCAAAGATGATTAGCCTTCCAGAAATTGTGCCAAAATTAAGAAAGAAAAGATTAAACACTTTCAAATTTTGTACATTATGTAAAATACATCGGCAGTGCAGAAGGCTGCTTTACGCATTTATGTCGTCATAATGAAACTGACAAAACCTCTTACTGGGGTTCATCAAATATCAGTAGGATTCTATGAATTTTTAGGTAGATATGAATCAGCATTAGCAGACATAAAAGGACAACCCACCTTGAACTGGTGGACTGTCCATCTATACACCAAAACATAACTAAATGAGCATAAACATATGAACGTGTCTGCTGACTGCCTATTTTCTCCCACATGGCATGGCTACTTTGTGCTCGTAGTTTTTGTTTAATTCGTTAATAATTCTGCTGGTGTGTGCAGATATCCCAAAGTATGCATTTGTAAGGTTCTCACCAGAAAACTACGCATATGTAAGGATCAGCGCAAAGGCATGTTGATGCACAAAATGCCACCAAACTGGACATCAAAATATAGGTCTAAAACTACAACTAAACTCCAAAAACCACTTGATTAGCAAATACAACAAAGTTAAGCCAAATTCAAAAGACAATGAGCAACAAATTGAGATAGTACTTAACAGATAAATAATGTATGATGGCAGCATAACCAATGTAGTCACCTGTTTACGAGCTCGGGACCTTGCAGCAGACTCTCTGTTTTTTATCATTCTCCTTTGCCTTCTCTCAACTACTTTCTCCAAAGCTCCATTGGACTTCCTTCCCCGGCTAAACATGTAAGGAACTGGTGACAACGACGATGTATCCCCACTGCTCTTAGCAATCACATCTGGTGATATCTGATTTGTGGGAGATCTTGCTGCAACTGCACCGCCCCCAGTACCTAAACCAGTCATTCCAATTCCTGCACCTGGAAACCCACCACCTTGAGTGAAAACAGTGTTCATAGAAGGTTCCACAACCCCAGTCATTGGTCCCCTGGTTCTCGGGCTTGTTAACTGAGCATTGTTTGTTAAATGCATAGAAGGGGCAAACGCTACATTTGTAGGCTTGGGGAAGAGTGGCTGCTGTTGTGGGGGCAGCTGCTGTGTTTGTTGCTGAGAAGATCTAACTCCACCAACATTAAGTGCTAAATTGGGAGACTGGTTAAGAACCGAATTATTGTTGTCTGCAACTCGATTACCTAAAAGACCGTTGGTTCGACTTGGTTGTTGAAATCCGGGAGCTATACCATTGTGGTTATTTGGACGGTATAATTCACCATAGAATCCACTATTATTAGGCCTTACAACTGGTTGGACATCTTCTCTCACAACCCCTGCTCTCACCAAAAACTCCTCCAAAGTCATCTCTCCCAAAGTTTGTTGTCTCTGTGGCAAATTTGAACCCATAGCAACGGTATTATATTTAGCATCACTTGTCTCTCTAATCAAGTCTTTCCAAACCTCATCAACTGTCTTCTGACTAAGTGTTCGTGGCAAAGTTAATGACCCTTGTCTCTGCAAATTACCCCCAGGAGCACTTCCTTCTCCAGCCCCAGAAGTAGATGTCACGCCTTGAGTCTCTTCAGCAGTCCATATATTTTTCAAAAGTTCATCCATGTTCATAGATCCAAAATCCTTTCCAAGCCCACCTATGGTGTTCTGGAACTCATCGAACGTCAGAGAGTACACGGAAGACTGCCGGGCCAACATAAAATTTCCTGCTGCCTTCCCACCATTGCCCTCCCCAGGTGGTACATCACCAAAGTTCTTGAAGTTGAAATTAGACCCCATCTTCTGGCACCTTGAAATACTAGTAACAGCTAGCTGTGCAAACTTTCCTATATATCCATCCAAGTAGAACACACATAGTTCAGACAAAAATCAGGAAAATGATAGGCCAATGAAACAGTTCTATGCATGAACTGAATTAGAAAACCCAAAAGCACCAAACTGCATACACAAAACACTTACTGCATAAACAAAGAAATAAGAGAATAAATTTAATAATAGCTTCAGAAAATTGGAGACATACAAAGACAACAACCCCCTCAGAGTTCCAAAAACAGACAAACGTCCGAAAACAAACTTAACAGCGGCTTTATTCAACCCACCAACAGAAGCTTGACAACACAACTCAAACCATTAAAGTCAATATCTCACACAAGATTCTATTGCCTAGAATTTGAACTTTATGAAGAACCAAGAATGTGAAAATGATCAGAACCAAACAAATTGTTCATCTCCACCTGTCCAATATATTCAGATAAAAACTGTGATGACAAATACTTTTCCCATTAGCTTCAGATCCACAAACTCACTCAAACCAACATGGTACTGGACCACTAACAAGATCTTCCAGAGTTCTCCAGCTCCATTAAATCATAACAACATCAAAATCTATACTCTCATAACCATTATCCAAGACCAACCCATTTCTCCAATTTTTGTTCACCACAACCAATAATCAAAAAGCTTAAACCTTTCATTAAAAAACCAATCAAAACCCTAACCATATCTTACTTCATACAACAACAAAGCTCAAACAACCCTGTAATTTGAATCCATAAATTTGCTTCCTTGACCAACAAAAAACAATTACAGCTAAAATAATAAATATAAAACAACCCGCAAAAATAACAGATAAAGACAAAACCTAATAAACAGAAAAAATAGCTCAAATGAAAAATAAACAAAAAGACAGAGTTAGATAGATACAGAAAGAAGCATTGAAAGAGAAGGACTTTATTTACCTTATTTTCTTTTTCTTTTTTAATTTTCTTTTTGTGGAAAATTGGGAGTGACTGCCTGGTAAAAGAGAGAGTGTCTGTTTCTCTGAGCTTTGGGTGTCTGGGTTGTGTGGAGGCGACAAGTGTCTTGTGCCGCCTCGACACGAGTCGCTATTTAAGGACGGTTCGGAGGCTAAGATTTCGGAATTGTTTAAATTTTTTTAATATTAAAAGTGGTTGGGTAGCCATCCATATCTCGCAACGTGGTCCAATCAGGGCCTGAGATCGTGATTTGATGTCTGCCCAATGTGGGGTGGCGAGGTGGGACGATCTGAGCCGTTGAAGGAGGCTCTCCGACAGGTTGATTGGACTGGGAGATCTTTTGGTTGGTTTTATTGGTCGATAACAGTGGCAGTATGAGGATTTTTCTTTTTCTTTTTCTTTTATTTCTTTAGGGGTTTTTTTTTTCTCTCTCTTCTTTCGTTTTCTTGTTTGTTTGTTGATGATTTTGTAAGTCAAAATCCCAAGCTCTTTTGGGAAATAGAGGTGACACTTATCAACTAAAGATAAACAGATGAGGAAGGTTTGTGTGTTTGTATATGTTGATGATTTTTTATGACTTGCTTAGTTTGTTCTGAAGTTGCAGAACATGGTGATGTTTTGATTGGATAAAGTATGGATGAGTTCATCAATCATGGTAGTATTGAGCTCAAAGTTGCACAAGTCAATACATGGACGGTTCAATGCCTTTTTGTATGTTGAAAACCTACTTGGATGCATTTGGTCATGCCCTTGCTTTTCAGTGTTGAACTTAGGGAGATGATCTTGCAAACAAAAGAAAAAGGTCTTATCTTTCTTTTTAGCTTTAAGGTTTGGTTAAGATAGTTTGGTCTTTTCGATAGTCTCGTAAGTTATGGTATCACACTATAAATCATTATCAGGCATTACCTCAACGTAGTTCAATTTTTCGGTTTTGTATTCCTTTGATGCTTGCGTACTCAAAATAGGTTAGTCAAAGAATGTTTTGTAAGAACTTTATTCACATGAGTTGGACGTGTGGAATCAAAAATGGTTGATTTCATTGGTATAACTTTCTCATTAATCGAGGACAAAACCACCCTTAGATTAGGGTGGACCGCAACCTAGTAAAAATTTGTCCACTCCACCACCACCTCTCTTGTGAAAATTTTTAGTTTCGCCATTGCTATTAATTCACCGTAGAATCCCCACTTTTGTTAGGCCTTACAATTGGTTGGACATCTTCTCTCACAACCACTGCTCTCACCAAAAACTCCTCCAAAGTCATCTCTCCCAAAGTTTCTTTTCTCTGTGGCAAATTTGAACCTGTAGCAACACTATTATATTTAGTATCACTTGTCTCTCTAATCAAGTCTTTCCAAACCTCATCAACTGTCTTCTGACTAAGTGTTCGTTTGTCTCTGCAAATTACCCCCAGGAGCACTTCCTTCTCCAGCCCCAGAAGTAGATGTCATGCCTTGATTTCTTCAGCAGTCCATATATTTTTCAAAAGTTCATCCATGTTCATAGATCAAATTGCATACACAAAAAAGCTTACTGCATAAACAAAGAAATATAGGAGAATAAATTCAATAATAGCTTCAGAATATTGGAGACATACAAAGACAACAATCCCCCCGGAGTTGCAAAAACAAACTTCTGAAATCAAACACGGTTGATGGTATTGGTATAACTTTCTCCAACCAAGTAAAAATTGTTAGTCGAGTACTAAAAATTTCTAATTTCGCCCTTGCTTCTGTACCTCTTATAAACACAAATATTAAAACACGAGATTGCAGACATACAAACTTTCGTGCATCATTTCTTTACAACCTGGCTTTTGTGCATCATTTCTTTATAACCTGATGTTCTACCATGAGTTTAACGACAAAATACTTATTATTCTTCTAATAGAAGAACATTATGTCCCAAAGCGAGGTTTAATTTGCTCATGTGGTTGGTGTGAATTGTATAGAATAAAATCCAACAAAATCAAATTTATAAAAATACAGGGATTGAAGAATAGTGAAGGAATCGCGCATGTGAATATAGTGGGCCATACCTTATCAAGAGCTCAGATCCAAATAAAAGACGGTGAAAAGATGCCATGCTTTTCCCCAACAATAAAATTACTAAAGGACGCTCTGATTACTATCAATCTGATAAAATGGGTACTAAAATTGTGGCACTGTTAGTGGGAGGACAGGCGCCACGTGTAGCGCTGCGATTCCTTTTCGTACTAAAAAAAAGGGAGAGGGAGTAATGGTGGGCCCGCACGGAGTAATGGTGGGCCTGCACCAGAAAGCCGCTTCAGATGCGACTGAATGTGGTGGCGTCATGCGATTACGGCCCAAATGAAAAAAAGAAAAAAGAGGAAACAGAGTTTGGTGGCGCCAGGAGGAGTACGTCCTGCTTAAGCATGTTGAGGAATCTCTGATCAGATCGTTTGGCCAAACTTTGAGGGCACTGCCTCAGTTGGACCTGGGACTTGGGAGCATGACTACATTGTGTGATTTTTTTTCTTTTTTTTTTTCAGTTTTCTTTGGTGTAAACAAAGATTTGTGTTTAACTCGTAATGTTTAGAGTTGGTAATTAAAGAGTATAGCCGCCCGGCTATACTTTTTAAATATTCAAATGTATTTAAAGATGATCCAATGACTGCACGTTTGTAACTCGTAACGTCGCTATGGTGGCTCTTCATGCAAGTGTCTCTCATTTAATGTCACGTAATCCTTTGTGACATGGGTACCATTTTTACTGGATTTTTTTTTCCTCTTCAAGTGAGTTTGTTTTGTTCCTTATCTACAGTACTCAATTACTCATTTCAATGCATGTAATTTTGAAGTTGGAGAGAGGATTTTGAAACTAAGTGAAGAATCTGGAGTATGTTCGACCTTCAAGTTTTCAAATTTTGGCATCCTTGGAATGCCTTATTGGTTGTCTTCCTCTTTGGAGAAAGCTTTATGCTGTGTGTGTTTACAAAGACAACAATATGCTAACTAGTTTCCTCATAATTCCAATTTTCTTATGTACTTTCCATGTTCTGATTATATGACAATGAACTGCTGAATTGTTTTCTCACGAACTCCATGTTATTTTTGGCTGATTTAACAGTGCTGATGGACATCAGTGACAGATTGATCATTTTCAACGTTTTAGTTTGTTACCAGGTATTTTTCTTACTCTTAAATATGCTTCTGGTATTCCTTGGTATAAAGGATGTACGAGGGTCTTCAGAGCGATTTCAGTTCTTTGGGGTTGGCATGTTGGTGTTGCTCAACAATGGTATGATGAATTGGATAATCCTGCCTCTTTGATATCACCACTTGAATCAGAGCTGAATGTGGAAGATGATAGTACAACTTCAGAAGTAGGATTTCAAGATGGAAAACTTTGGGACAAGTGAGGTGTGCACCTTTTTGTTCATATATTACTTGTTTTGTTTTGGGTCGTTTGAAAGCAATATAATCTCTTGCCATGGTTACATCTTCATTCTTGGTATTGTGTAGGTTATTGTTTATGGGGCATTGTATTTAAAACTTAGAAGAAAGAAAGAATTATTAGAGGATAATCAAGAGATATCGGCAGCAAGGATAGCATATATTTTACACTTGGAGAAAAGTGGAAAGATAGGAAGAGATTCATGCATCCAATTCTTATTAAAATCAAACAGAGATTGAGAGATCTCATCTTTATGAAACCTCTACATGTGAGGATAAAATTGGATTGGCTTGATCACGAAAAGGCTGAAAACGCAAAAGATATTATCCTAAGAGACTCCAAGATTGAGGTCAATGTTTCGCTTAACTCGTAATATTCAGGGTTGCGATGAAAAAACGGGTCAATCGTCTTGTTATTCTCAATCAATTCTTCCAAACCTCTCTACGGGATTGGAAGAAGGAGCTTTCACCCAAATAAATGACCTCCGAACTGTGTCATTCTTGAAGTATGGCGCAACAGTTTGCCGAAAACACAAGGCGGGAGTGAGTCGAAAAGATGCTTCGTCAAGCTTCTGTGCAATACACACCACTGCGGATGTTAGCGCTTTAGTTCAGATGGATCTATAGAACGTAATCAATTACCTATCAAAGTAGAGTGAGGGTCTACTTCAATGGGACCTTTATGCGGTGATACGATGCCTTAACAAATGAAAAATGAATAGGAATGCTTTAAATATTCAAATATAAAAGTATAGCTACATGGATACATGGTGTAAATATTTTCGAATATTTTAGGCGTATAGCCGTTCGGCTATACTATTTAAATATCCGAATATATTAACCCGTATAGCCGCTCGGCTATACTATTTAAATATCCGAATATATTAACCCGTATAGCCGCTCGGCTATACTATTTAAATATCCGAATATATTAACCCGTATAGCCGCTCGGCTATACTATTTAAATATCCGAATATATTAACCCGTATAGCCGTTTGGCTATACTATTAAAATATTAGCAGTATAGCCGCTCGCCTATACTATTTAAATATCCGAATATATTTAACTCGTATAGCCACACGGCTAGACTATTAAAATATTCGAAAATATGTCAAGCGTATAGCCGCACGGCTATAGCTATACGATTAAAATATTCAAATATATTTAAAGAGTATAGCCGCGCGGCTATACTATTAAAATATTCCAATATACATTGAGGGACGATTTCAGGCCTGCGATTGAGGGATTTTCAGAGGATGTGATTGCTGATCCATCTGAATGTGTGCACCATTTACATCGAACTGTTCCATCGCGAAGCCGTCGCTTCGTTTTGTTAAGGGGTTGTTAGTCGGGTCGGGTCTTCATTGGAAATACGGGTTTTATTTTACTCGTTTCTACGTGAAACTCCTCTTTAAAATTCTACGGTTCTGATAAGATCCGATATATCCAACGGCTTCAATAGCACCGCATATAAGCCCACCCCTCATTAGACTCTGAGCTTCATCTCTAATCTAAAACCCTAAACCCTCACTGGTGGGAGGCATCTTCTGTTAAGCAGGTCCATTGATACGTTCGGAATTTCTCTGAAACGTTCATGTATGTTCAGGTAGGAACCTCCATTACCATTCCCTCTGTTGTTCTTTACCCAACAGTTTGTTTTGTTGCTGAGAAATTCTTGAAAAAACAGATGGAACTAAATCTTCTAACTTC